AAGCCGGCAGGGCGTTCCGCAATCCGTGAGGGATCCTGCTGAGCATTTGGCAAGGGAGATGTATGAGCAATCTGACCATGTGAGTAGGGAGCAAGTTGAGCAGGCCATAAAAGCGTTTCCTTGGCCTAAACAGCTTCAACCAAGAAAGGTTCAGCGTGAGGGCTTGGGAGTGTCCGTTAGCTTCGGGGCCTTTTCTCATGGGGGTTGCCATGGTGTTACTAGGGCTACCAGAAGAAGGCCGTGTCTTACTCGACTGCTGAATCGTTACGCAAGGCAAGTAGCACCCCAAGCGGAGTACTCGGCTTTAGCCATTTCTCGAGGGGTACAACTGGGATGGCATCGCGATCGCCATAATTTGTTGGACTCACTCAACTGGGTGATCCCTGTTGGGGCTTTTGAGGGAGGAGAAATCCGTGTGTTGCAGGAAGGCCAAAGTCAAGATGAAGCAGACCTTTCAGAGCATAGGGGTTTTAAGCTAGACGTGTCAACCACCCCGGTCTCCTTTGATGCCAGACGTAGACATTGCGTAATGCCTTCCCAAGGGGAAAGACTTGTCATAGTGGGCTATACCCCTCGTGGGTACTGTCGGCTTCAAAAGGAGGACCTTGATGCCCTTAAGGATTTAGGGTTTCCTCTTCCTCAGTTTCCCCTATACGCCCTAAACGCCTTATTCCCTCAAGCAGACGGTGATTCGTCTTCTGATGACGGGTCTGAGGGTTCCGGACTTTCCATTGGTGAGTCAGAAGTAGGTTCGCAACTAATAGGCGAAGGCATTAATCATCCTTTGTGTGCGTTCTGTATGTCAGCTGAAGATCATGATGCGGTTGCGGTGCAAGCTTTGTTCCTGAGTCGGGTGGTCAGGGAAGAGCGCCTGGACGTTCTAGAAGAGTTGAAGATCTCCAGTAGTAAGAGTTTAGAGAGCTTACGAGGGCTCCAGGATTTGGAGTCTGAGCTCACAAGGGTAGAGCAGGAGTTGGAGCTCAGTGATGCGGCCAGCGCGTTTTTCAACTGTGATGGACCGTCTGTAGACGCAGCTAGACCAACTAGAGCGAGGTTGATGGCTTTGGGGGTTCATAAGGATTGCTGTGAGCAAAGGGAGTCTGCCTTTCAGGGTATAGGGGTTAGGGAGCTAAAGGTTCTCGAAGACCAGGAGGAGTCTCCTGAGAGTATATGGTATCAAACCCAAACTGTAGACCCCCAGGAGGCGGCCTCTGAGATTGAGAAGTGGGTCCCAGCTCTGACAGAGGAGTGCGTGGGCCTCACGAGTCAGTACAAGGCTATCACCCCCATTAAGAAGTCGGATCTCTCTCAGGAGGATATTGACAAAGGGTTGATAGAGGTACTTCCATCTAAGGTAGTTTACACCCGGAAACCTCCCCATGGTCAACGACGGGCTCGAATTGTAGCTTGCGGTAACTTTCAGAAGGGTCATCCATTGGAGCAAGAAGTACAACAGCCTCAGTCGCTGTCTCGGTTTCACTTGTATGCTTCAGGGTTAGATTCCGTAGCTCTTCGAGTGCAGTTGCGGATGTCGGCTATGGAGCTTTGGGACGGCGCCATAGTAGATGTCCGCAAGGCGTTTTTGTACGCTCCTCTAAAGGGAAACATAAGCTCCGATCGTCTTATTGTGTTGACTCCCCCTAAGGTTTTAGTACGTACCGGGATCATCCCGGCAGAAGAAAGATGGCAAGTGGAGAAGGCCGTCTATGGCTTGGAGATTTCCCCGTCGTGTTGGTCACGGCACCGTGATAAAACAATGACCACCATTACATGGGAAGATCAAGGATTCAAGCTTGTCCTTAAGGCCTTGAAGTCTGAGCCATCGCTCTGGCGCATTGTTCGGCTGGAAGAGGTTTCAGCTGAAGGTGTTCCAGCCAAAGAAACTACTGTGGGGCTGATCGGCGTGTACGTCGACGATTTGCTGATAACCTGTTTGAGGTGGGGCCTTCGCGGCGGTCTGGCAGTTGTCAACGCCAAAATTCCTCAGTGATGGTGCCAGCTTCCTAGGAGTCGACATCAAACAAGCAGACGGTCGTTATTTCTTATCCCAAGAGTCATATATTCAGGAGCTCTTGCAGCGCTACAGCCATGTCACGGGCACCACCTTGGTACCGTTCCCCTTGAAAGATGAAGCCTCAGAGAGCTCTTCGTCGATGACTGGGCTATCGCAAGAGGATGACACCACTGAATCAAGCGATAAGCTTCAGGACATTCGTCGTGCACAAGGTCTAGTAGGGGCCCTAACTTGGGTAGCTACCAAGAGCCGGATTGATTTAGCCTACGGCGTGAATAAAGCAGCTCAACTTACAGCCGCGTCTCCAAAACGAGCCATAGCAGCTTGCGAGCACATGGTTAGGTACCTGAGGACCACTCCGTCTTATGGGTTGGTTTATGGGCCTGTTCCCCAACATGGTTTTATGGCTGCAATGGACAAGGGTTTGCTTGAGGCAGCTAGCGATGCTAGTTTTGCCCCTGAGCGTCAACGCTCTCAGTCGGGGGTCACCTTGCAATGGGATGCGGGCACCATAGCCTGGTTTACGTCAAGGCAAAGTTTCATTACGGTTAGCACGGCAGAAGCCGAGCTTTACAGCATGTCGGAAGCCAACCTGTTGCTGGCATCAATAAGCCCTTTAATTGAGGAACTGGTAGGCGTGGTAAGGAATGTCTCCTACAACGATTCCGTAGCGGCTGTGTCTATCGTTAGACAACCTAGTGGACCATGGCGAACGCGGCATTTAAGGCTTAGAGCTTCCCATCTTAGAGAACAAATCGAGGGTGAGAAGCTGACCGTCTTCCACATGAGTGGGAAAGACATGGTTGCGGATTCGTTAACTAAGGCACTGCCCAAACAAAGACTAGATCACTTGTTTAGTTTACTGGGTTTCGGGGATAGGAGTAAGCTGATTGCATGCAGCGTGCTGTTTTGCACTTTCCAGCGTGCCAGCGCGCAGGGCAGAGCACGAGTAGAGGGACTTCAGGGTTTCTGGTTCTGGGTTAGTGTTGCGTTCATGGCAGGGATGTTGTTTGCAGTCCTTCTGCAAAGGCTTCCGCGGTTGTGGCTTTGGGTTCGGGGGTGGTTTGGACGTAGACGAGTAGTGCAAGCTGGCGGGCTTCAAGCGGATCAGCTGGGAGAGCTGCAAGTGATTCGGTACGCTGATGATCTTCCGGTTTTAGGTCCTCCCCCCGAAGGTTTACGTAGGCGTAGAGAGGGTGCGAGTAGTCTGCAAGATGCACCTACGTACAGCGAGGAGGAGATATCTCAGATCTTTGATGTTTGGTACGCTCAAAACATGGAGCATTATGACCCTTACGATCCGGATTTGGACATCTCTCCCTCGTTACGTAACGATGCAGTCCAGAACACAAACAGTCCTGGCTCAGAAACTTCTTCATTAGGGTCTAGTGGGTTGGCATCTGCGCCGTCGGGTCCTATGGGATTGATTTCGGCTCCACCAGTTGCCTCGTTTTCTAGGGATTTAGGGTCAAGTGCTTCTTCTTCGGGAAGCATGCCAGTAGCTAAGCCGCCGGGGCGTCCTCTAACCCTTCAATCGTCAGGATCAGTCCTGCGTTTGATCCCTAATACGCTGACTCCAGAGGATTGGGAATACTGGTCAGAGAGGACCCTTATTGGTCATATTCCTACTAGTAGGAGTCGTGATGAGTGGGAGCTGAGGGAAGAGGAAGGGGTCCTTATTCGGTGGCATGGCAAGTTCAGAGGGCAGTTCTTTGACCCCAGGGTTACATCACCACCAGTGCCTTTTGAGCAGTTCGTTGGGGTTCGGAGGACTTGGTGTACCTTCAGGGATGGTCATCAAAGTATCTTCATAAGTGGCGACTTCAGAACGGATCCAAACGCTGCACCTGCAGATGGGTACCAATGGCGAGGACGATCAGAGTTCTTGCTTTATACGTCATATAACCCGACCATTCCTGAAGTGATCCCTCCTAAGCCTGCCCCAGCTAAGAATAGACCGGCAAAACATCCTCCAAAGGCCTTGAGTGTAGGTCAAGGGCCTACAGGACAGGCAGTTGTGCCTAAGGGAGCTCCTAAGCACCCACCAAAGGTCCCACCTTACAAGGCTCCTCCTCCCCGGAGAAACGATATAGCTGAGGAAACCTAAGAGTGATCGTACCGTGAAGAGTCTTAAGTCCTAGACAACTGCTTTAGGCGTTTAAATGTAGGGGTCTTGGAGTTTTCGTTCGCCATGTAGCCAGTAGCGCTACGTTGTGGGCTTTTCTACTTCTCGTTCGGTATGTAGCCAGTAGTGCTATGTAGTGGACCAGAAGACTCCCTACAGGGTCCGAAGCGGTGCGTGATCGTTGCGTAAAAGTGGGTGGTTGTCAAAATTATGGTCCTTTTTGGGGTACCCTAACAGGGGTCCAAAAAGGGACCATAATTTTGACAGCCACCCAAATGACCCTGCAGTGCTCAACCCTTTCGGAAAGCCTTATCTCCTTCATTGATGGAGCGGCCTCGGAAAATAGCAATTCTGCTCTGACAACGTTTTCCGTGTTCCCGGCGTGTCCGGATACTCCTGTACCAGAATTACGCTCCTGTGTGGAGCTTTCTCCAGATTTTGTTCGGAATCGACAACCCTGCTCAGTGCTTGCAAAAGGCGCATCCGGATGCTCTTGGCTGGAGCGTCCTGCAGAAGCTCGATTTTGCTCGAAATCAACAACTGTCTCAGTGGACGCGCGCGGTTGTCTGAAATCGCGTTGCTTTTGCATCTTAACACTCATGTATTCTCTTACAGTTCTGGGTGCCCAACGAAGAGTTGCAAGCCATGAGCAAGCACAGCCAAAGGCACTCAAGCGGATCATGGTTGTTCCATGCTCTAAGAGGCAGCCTAGGGGTTGAAATGTGCATAGCAGGGTATGCAATCATATGCAATCCATCATGTCACGTGCGACGTGTGTCTCTGCTTCAGGTGACTGATTGTCGAAGCTCCAGCTTGCTTCGTTTAGTTCCAGTGCCTGCATGCAAGTCACGCCAACATGAGGAGCTGGACTACTTGAGCCAGCTTTACGATTTGTACACAGCAGCACCGCCCGCGAAATTTTCGGGTTCAGGAGGATGCTCGAGATTGATTGCCTGAAGTTGCAGGTTCTGGAGACTATTGGCCGCTGGAAGGACTATCTTTGGGTTGAGGTGTGGGCCATTGTGTTATGAGCTTTCAGCACCTCCTTGACTTTCAAGTGCATGTCTCCTCAGCATTTCTTACAGCTGGAGGCGTAGAGATCAGCCTGCTAGCTTGGGTATCATGACAGACGTGGTCTCCCTGGCCTCAAGGGCCAGAGGGGCTGTAGTGGGGGGCTTGGTGGCAGATGCCGCTGCTGTCCCTTGTCATTGGTGCTACGACCCTACAAAGCTTGCGGAGCATATCAAAGCCGCTCGCCGCGGCCCGGCCTTCTGTGATCCTCCTGGCAACGTCTTCTACACCCCTTCGCCAGGTGGCTTCAGTTGTTACGGAGAACAGACCATGGCACTGCTTGAGTCCTTGGTTGCCTGTGAAGGCAAACTAGATGTTGAGGACTACGCCTCTCGCTTGGAAGAGAAGTTTGGCAAAGCCAGCTCCTACGAGGTGGAGGCTGTGGATCCCGAGAACTGGCCAGAGCTCAAGGTCAACCCGACGGACGCAGATGGCAAGGTGATCGAGGCCGAGAGGAAGTGGAGCATGCCGCTGCCCGGGCCATGGAGACATGGATCTGTCAAGGGCTTCCTCAAACATTATGTCAATGAAAAGCAGAAATTTCCAAAGTGTGGGTCTTCAGATGAGCAGGTCCCATGTCAGCACGTTCAGAGTCGGGCGCATGCGGCAGCAGTTCTTCAGTCGTACAAGGAAGCATCCTCAAGCAACAATCACCGCGTCATGTGCTCCTGCAATGGTGGTGGTGGCGGCGGTGGTGGTGGTGTTGGTGGTGGTGCATGATGAATGAGTTTTGTGGGGATTGCAGGTTGGACGGGAGATTGAGTTTTTGTAACTGTGATTGGAATGCTCCCTTTGGATGGAGTCATTGGCTGCTTAGCAATTGGGTACGTGGACAGATGCATGCACGGACTGACTTGGTGACTCATTCACTCCGGAGCATGCGAGTTGTCATTGACGCAATGCTCCGCAGCAGAAGTGTTGCCGCTGAGGCAAGTGCTAAACACCATTTTAATTGCAGCCGCCGCTAACACTACCAGTAACTATCATCATCCTTGCCAGCACCAGCAGCAGCGTGGCGGCAGCAGTGCCAGCTGCGGCAGCAGCAGCACGCATAGCTGTCGGCACTCCAACCGAGCCACCAAAGCCACTCCACTCATTGAAATTCGTTTTCTTTTCGGAAAAGCAGGCTGGGCTTAGTGGGCGTGGGGAGTTGCAATCATGTAGCTGCAGCTGAAGGCACTTGGGCCTCGACCCATGGTGCTGTCGAAGTTGTTTGGTCGTCTGGGTCATTTGGGCAAATCGTTGCCGCATGCGGTTAAACAGCAGTGCAAACCAGTAACACTCACGCAGCACGGTATAGACTTTGAACTTTGAACATGCCACGGTGAGGTGGATGGATGCTGCAAGGTTGCTCCGCTGGTCGCACTTTTGGCTGGCCAGCCGAGCTTATTGCCCAGTGTGAACACTGCAGTCCGAGTCGTGCAGAACACCGACAAAGCCGCGGCGTTCGCTTGCGGATTCGCACGTGTCCTCGAAAAACTAGTGCTTGGCATTCCCACCGTATCTGAGGCAATCCTGGCAGCAAAAACGGATCTTTCAGATCCAGATCGTGCCTTCAAAACCAAGCTAGACGACGAGGTGGCCGCCAACCTCGGGCGCGTGATGGGTGAGTTTGCTGACCTGACACATGCAGAAGTTGGCGTGAAGCTCAAGCCGGAGTCTGTTTCATTTCCCTTTGCTGGCCTCTCCTGATCTTTGCCTCAAGCATTGATTCTGCCGCTGCACTGCGCGCAAGCCGCGCATGGATCTGGTTACATGCAAGCTGTGGAGGCATGCATTGCAACAGGAGGTTGTACAGTCAGCAGAGCAACCTTGGCAGGCGCGTGTCATGGCTCAATTGGCACAGAGTCCGTGGTTCCAGCTGAATGGCTTTCGAGCACTTCTCAGGGATCGCGTCTGCTCGATTTGGCCACCCAACTTGTAGCCTTGCGCGAAACCGCTGCAGAAGCAGCGGCTCTGTATTGTAAGAAGTTTACCGCAGGATTCCCTTAATTCGGCATGTGCTTGTGAATGCTTTCGCCGCGGCCATTGAAGACATCCCACTGAACACCAGCAAATAAGTTGATTTGCCAGCATCAGCGGCGATGAGTGCTGCAACTGAGTGCAAGCGTAGGCTGGCATGAGTACTGCAGGGCATTAATTCTTTCACATCAAGCTTTGTCGCCTTGGTTGCGTCAGGCATTCTTGTTTACAAGAAGTGAGTGCACGGCTGAAAGCATTCGGAACTGTGCATGGGTGAAAGTTTGTCCCAGACTTCATCTTCAGACCGTGGACACGTGATGAGGGCGTGCCAAGATGTGCCACAGTCATGTCAGGCCGCATCTTTGAAGCTTCACGGCCCAACTCTTCTGGTTCTTGACTACATGCCAAGCCAGTGAAAACGACAGCTTGTAAGCAAGGGCGAAAAGAGGGGCTACTGAGGCGCAGCTGTCCACTGAGACGCCATGGTCCATCTTCTGCGATGGGCATTGGATCTGATACTTGCCTCAGGTTCCTGCTGAGATGGAGAATATGAAGAAGGAGGCGGATGAGCAGGTAGTCTCGAGCAGAGTGGATCGAATACTTGCACACAGGCTGACCAGTTCGCGTGGCTGGCCCAGACTAGTGCATTTCAGAGACAAAGGAATGCAGAATGAGTTCACGGCCGCATTGCGCAATGAAGTGATAGATACCGGCATTGTGAAGTCAATGCCGTCAATTTCCCAGAAAGAAGCCAGTCTGACGCTTTCAAAAGCAAGTGGAACAAGCTTGGGATTGCCATTGGTTCTGCAGAAGTCTTCTTCTGAAGGCTCCGATGCAAGAAGATGCCTGGACAATTGCGAGAGTGGTGCGAAGCTTTGCCGCGTAATTCAAGAGGAAGTTCTGGTCGATCCCCTAAGCTTCGCTAGGCCAGCGTACCACGAGCTCAAAATGGAGATCGAAGGCTTCCAGCAGGCCATCCAGTACTGCAAGTTGCCGGAAGTGGCTTTGAACCCTATAGATGGCTGTCCTAGTGGGACCTGGCAGGTGCTCCCCTTGCTCATGGAGCTCTCCAAGAAGAGTATCCAGCAACGTCACTGGCAGCAGGTGCGTCCAAGCTGAAAACCCGTATGTTGTCTTGCCGTGATGCAGCGCACAAGAGGTGAATGACATCACAGGCAAGGACTTGCAGGCGCCCCGAAGTCAATACAAGCTGCCGATACTCTGAACCGAGAGTGCAGGCTTGAGCTGTAGCTCATCGCAGGTTGAACGAGAGGACTTCAAGCTTCAGTCTCTGATCGATGCGAAACTCAATGAGTTCAAGGACCTGGTATGACTTTGACCTTTGCCGTAAGCATGCCAAAAGCAGCCACAGAGATTCTGATGTGCAACTTGCAGGATGAGATTGTGGACATTACGGAGTCCGCCGACAAGCAGCAAATCATCGAGGAAAAGTTGGCAGACATCACAGCAAGGGCCCTTCTGTACTTCCACTGGTGGCAGCAACTGCGTGACTTGCCTTCCATGTTCACAAAACCTTTCCGCATGCCATGAGCAAGCAAGGCTCAGTGGAGTACCATGTCCTTCGAATTTGCTACTTGGAAGTTTGGAGCCCAAGAACTCTATCCCAGCAGAAGGGCTTGAGACTTCATTTTCCGTTCAGGCGTGAGGTGCCCTGCGTTCTCGTCGGCCACAAGGTCACTGAAGTGCAGGAATCTTTGGAGGCAAGCTTCTTAGCAGCTCGAAGAAGCCGAAGAAGATGCTACACATGAGCTCAAGGAAACGCAGATGTTTCTCAACGCGATGAATGCCATGAGCCAAAACGTCCATCCATGCCGACAGTCACTTGTGATTTAGCAAGGCTCAGCGCCAATCTGGGCCTTTCAAGGAAGAGCTCATGGTGCCAGACCCGGAGCGTTTCTTCCAACAAGTGAGTCTTTAGTCACCAGCAGCTGCCACGCCACCTGCTCAAGCCATACAGGCGCTCATCACGACGCTGTCTGCCCAGCTCTCAATGCGAAGTGTCGTAGCACGGCATATATGGTGCCTGCGAGTCTGCAGCGGCACTAAACACTATGATGGTGACTGCTTCCGGTTGAGCTTGGCCAGGCTGAAGGAATTTAGGCTCAAGCGTGGATAAGAGCAGACAAAGGCGGCCGCAGCAGTCCTAGCTTCAGGCCTGAATGTGTGGAGATTTTCTGACGCTTGCCTCGTGGAGCCAACGGGTGTAGCCGCTGTGCACTCGTTAGGGGGTGCACGCAGCCTGCAGAAGCATTTAGGAAGTAGAAGAAGAAGGTGGTAAAGTAAAGCGAGACCCAACGAGGACGTGCGGGCGATAGCTGCGGCTCATTCCCGAGTGGGTTTGCATAGCATGCTCATACTGTTGATGGATGAGATCTTGCACCACCTAGGGGCCCTAAACTACTGTCATTCCTAGGACTTTAGAGACTTAAGGTGGTGCAAGATTTCATCCATCAACAGTAGGGAAACGGAGAGGGAGGGATTCACTCCCCCTCACTTTGAAAGAAACAAGAACAAGAGAAGACAGGCCAACGGGTGTCAGAGTCCTTCAAATCCCACCAAGAAAGTCCGAGCTGTTGGAGAAATTTACAAGACGACAACATATTGCTTTGCCATTCACGTTGCTTCCTACGAAGCTTGACAGGCGGAGCACATGGCCTTGCAGTTCCGACGAGACCGAATTACATCAGAGTTCCTGAGCTTTGGCAAGCATGTTGAACAGCGCGAAAGGCGTTGATGCAGGCAGTGTTTTTTTTAGGTCTGATCCTATACCTGCAGCGTTGGCAGCTTCATCACAATGGCCAGGTGTGCTCCTGTTGTTGTTCCACCCTGACTGAAATCTACAAAGGGTCTTCTTAGGACTTGCCTTCCTAAGATCCATTACAGAGAGCATGTGGCAGCATTTCAACAGTTCGTCACGTCATCCTGGGACGCTGGGATGACAGCGATCCAGTTCTTATTTATTTGTATATTTATTTCTACGCAGTGCACTTCCTTTGTTGCTTCACCAATCCCCTGTAACTATTATTTCTCTAGAATGACTGCAGACATTCCAGCCTCGACAGCCAATGCACCCTTGCCAGTTGCATGCTTCGGAGCGATCACAGTTCTGTTTCGCTGACAGTTTTGACAAGGCATGCCAGTTGTGGTACCTGCAGACATTTCAGTCATGATTTTGCCTATTTTGGGATTCGCCCGACGCGAAGTGACAAACACAAGTCTACGGCACAATCGAACTTTTCTCCCATGCTCTTGTTGCTGTTGCTGCTATGCAATCGGCCGTGTGCTAATCATGGCGCAGAGACTTGCATGCATATCGGCCATTGCGAAACACAACTGGCTTCGCCAGCCTTTGTAAAGCATAAACCTTTCATTTTTTCAAACATCTGAACCGTGCTGCCTTTCAAAACGCTTCGTTGACGTTTGGCGGTGCTGCTCTTGGTGTTGGTGTTGGTGTATGCTTTATGTGGTTGTTGTTCTTGAGTGGTTTGGCTGGCATCCGTTGTCTCTTCAGTTTTCTGGGAAGAAACCGAGCTGAGTCAGCTGATTCCTCTAAGCTTGCTAGTCCGCAGGGTAATGATGGGGTGAGGCAAAAGTCTGGATTCACCAACTAGCTCCAGAACCTTTCACTGAAATTCAAGTGGTCTTCCATCCCCGCCTTCCACTCGCGTCCTGCTTCGCCTGTAGTTGCATGGGTACGACGGATTTTGTCAGCAGTATTGATTTCCTACGAATGTTGTCATGAATATAGTTGACTGAACTCAGTAATCTGTAGCTGCTCGCGCTTCCCCAACAATAATTGCGCACGCCAAATCACGCTAACGTACGTGTCTGCCTCGGAAGCTGTCGCCGCCGCGACGGCCACCCCCAGCCACCCGCACCACCCCCACCACCCACACGGTATTGCGCCTACTGTAATTACTGTACTTCGTGAGATGGGCGGTCCAAGCATGTTGATAGATGTGTCGTTGCAGCGGTTGGAGCCGGGCCTTTGATGGGCCCATGGGGACCCTAACCTGTAGTCCTAGAGGTAGCGTACTGCGGTCTGTATGGGCCTGGGTGTACAGGCCCTGGTCAGTCATCCTATTAGCGCTCAGATGACTCCCTTGTCATTCGCGTAGAACTCCCTTTTGGCCACTGGAAGCAGCTTTGCGTTGAATGTGTGCCTCGCAAGGAATTTGACTTTCACAGCGGAAGATTACGAGATCAAGTTTGACCAGTTGTCAGAAGGGGAAGAGGAGGATCAGTTCACAGGCGCTCAGCAACGGCACCATGTTTGGAACGTTCAGGTTTTTTGCAACCTGATGGATCGAGCAGGTCTGTACTGTTTATAGATTCTCAAAGCTGAAGGGCTGAGGTCAAGCGAGGGCTCAGGTTGCTAGATCAAATGTTCCTCAGCATTCCTGTCATGTTGCGTGGGCCCAAGTTTGCACATGTTTGCGCCATGTCACATGACCGAATCAGATCGCTTCGTCTCCAAAAGGAACCATGCAGCCGAATTTCCCAGATTTGCAGGCAAGTTTCGAGTGCGCAGCCGTTCGCTTCCAGCTCGTGTATCTCGTCAGGCCAAGATTGGCAAGTTGGCTTCAGGTAAGAGCGAGTTGTTTGCGCCTCGGAAGGAAGCCAGCTCCTCAAGGCGGTCTTCGACTGTCAGCCATCACAGCACAGGCGCGGCTTACTTACTGGTCGGTTTGAAGGCGTCACCAGTTGCCACGCACACGGAAAGTCTAGCAGCACATCAGAAGGGTCACCCATGGGACGCCAAACGATGCTGGTTTGGTAGGCCTGCCAAAGAGGGCAACAGTTGCTCGGCAGCGCAGGTGCTCCGGGATCGTCAAGAGATCAAGCAGTGAACGCCTCCTTATTGGAGAACGTCAGGCTGAACCACTGACAAGGGAACACCTTCGGGAATATAAAGCACGTTTCTTTTGCCAGGCAGTGCCCTTCCGATGAAGGTGGCAAAAGCAAGTGCCTGAGACCTTGCTGGCATGCAGCGGCATAAGAACAGCTGTCATTGTCATCAGAGGTGTCCACCAGAGCGGAGGTTTTGCGCATGGCCGGGCTTCAAAAGATTCTCAAGCTGCTGCCTCAACTGCGATCGCAGTTGCTTATGCCAGCGCACTCGGTATAGCGTATATACCTGGATGCGCAATGGCTGGTGATGCGCAGCACTGAATGAGTCACCGAACGTGAAGCTAAGGACGCTGTCTGGAACAGTAGAAAGGCTTCCACAAGGCGCCTGCACGCGAGTTTCACGGCTTTTGCCTTGATTTCCGATTTGCATTGTTCTGAGTTTAGTATGTGTACTTTCAGATTGGCAAGACCAAAAAAGTTGCCCTGCCTCAGGAGGGGCAGCAGCTTGTCGGAGAAAGGCCAGGCCAATCCTTTGGCTCTGCCACAGCTTTTGCTTGGGATTTCATGCCAGGTGCTCCTGCCACGGCAAAGCTGCAAAGGCGCGGGGCAACCGTGGATTGAACAGCTGAACAGCTTGTGTGCTCTAGCCACCGAAGTCGAGCTGCTCCGACCTGATGGTGTGTGATTTGCCAATGGCCTGCAGGACCTCACGGGCTGGAGCACAGGACCGCTTCTTGCTAGCGCAGCATCTTCTTATGTTGAACCCTTCCCAGAGCCCAACAACCTCTCCCAGCTTCAACAACCTTCGGCTAACCCGGGTTCCTCAAGCCTCGGCGTTCCCCCAGAGGCTCCGAGCACCGAGCATGTAATGGCGTACATCTTGCACCAAGGTGGATGAGTAGAATCTGACGTGCGTATCTTGCCAGAGCCAGGAAGCATCTAGCGGCTGTTCGCAGACAGAGGTTGGGCTCACAAGTGGCGCCCAAGGAGAGCTGCACTAAGCAATGCCTGCAGGGCTCTGAGATCTGGGACAGCAAGTCTGGCGATGTACGGATGCACAACAAACGCTCGAAGAAGGACACGAGAACAATGCGTGCAGTTGCCTACGAGAGTGTACCACTCTGGCAAGGACTCATCTAAAGGGCTGCGACCGGCCTCGAGGTCCGCGGGACTTTGATTTCTGCTTCTCGCAGCGCTGTGGAATCAGTTCTGCGATGTTCTGCACAGGAGTGACAATCGCAACAGCAAGGCAGAGTTCTGCATCGCAGCAGCTCGATCTCGTTCTTTCTGTAAGTTGTTTTTTGTTGATTCTTTTAACCTATCAGTGTTAGCTAAGCTCTCCCTGTGACGAAGCATTGTGACTTAGACCAAGTTATGCCTGAGGTGCAGCCAGTGACAGCATATGCAACAGGGCGACCAGACATGGGAAACGAACTGCTGGACCGGCAGCTGCACGTTGAGATTCGAACTTGGGGTCCTGATACAAATGAGGACCCCTTCAGCCACGGCTGCATAGTATGGGCGGATGCTGAAAGGATGGAGATATATACAATGCCTGGCGAGTCTGAGCTGCACTTCGAGATTTGCAGACGCGAAGGTGGTGAAGTTTGTCCGCCAGAGGGCTTCACACACGCGAAGGTTGCGCTTGATGGAAACTTGGAGGATGGCAGGAGGCATGAGCTGCAGGTCAACGGTGCTTGCCTCGTGGTGGACATTGCGAAAAAGCCGTTGCTCTCTCAGCCTGCCAAGAAGGGTGGCCTCACATGGGATCCAAATTTACAGGAAACTCGGCAGTTCGCAGGAAATCATGCTTCTCGTCGCAACACGCCTTTCCTTGCCCGGCAGGCTTCCATTCAGGAGGAAGAACCCCCTATGAGTGCTGACGAGCAAAGCTCTGCCCGGAGCGGAACCAAGGAAGATGCCAGTAGGGCAGCCGGCCCGAGCAACCTCTCTCAGCCGATTTCCATGCAGCTAGATTTGCCGGAGGCTAGGCGCGCTACAACGCACCTTGACAGGACTCTGCAAGAACCGGGAAGTGCTCCCAGAGCATCGCAGGGACCACGTCGCCTGACAGCTCCAGCTGCACCAAAGGATGCAGGATCCAGCGGAGCCAGCTCCGGAAGCTCAGAACCTGTGAAAAAGCGGCGCAGCTCCAGTCAGCGCTGGAGGATCTTTCACGGGCAGGAGAAGGATAGCTGGCGTGACCCAATCAGACGCTCAAAGAGCCAACCCTCCAAAGCTGCCACAAGCATGCCAAATCCCTTAGACACTCACCTCGACAAACCAGTCCAAATGCAAGTTGACGCTTCCGACCAAGGCAGCATTCCAGACGTGCAGGAAAGCATCGAAGAGTCTAGCTTGGAGTCTCCTTTTGCAGATTCTGCTTTGGACTGCACCCGGCAATCGAGAGAATCGAGAGCCAGCAGGCTGTCACGTGTTGCTCCTCGTCAATCAAGACTTTGCACGAGCATGCTGGAAGCCGAATTCTCGGATCGCGGCTCTCGCGGCTCGGCCATGTCAAGTTTATGCCCAGCACCATGTGCCAGCGACTCCGCGCGAGCAAAAGACTCACGGCCCTCCAGGGGCGAAATCTCTTTGCCAAGAGCCTCGCTTGGAGCCTCCAGGGTCTCAGGCTCCAGGGGTAGCCGACTGTCAAGCTCAAAGTTGCAGACTCGCCTTCAGTGTCTTCAGTGGGTCAGCTGTCGCTACACAGAGCCCCAGGCAGTCACGTTTTGTGGTTTGTGTGAGGAACTTGGTGCCATGGATTTGACAAACGCAGAAGGAATTACAGGCAGAGACCGGACAACACTCTTGGTGCTTCTGGAGCAAGCAGAGCATTCTGTGACAGCCGTGAGACGTCAAAAGTCGGCAGCTGATGCAGCAACAATGCCGAGACTGCTGGCAAGCCTCAGTGCGGAGTTTGTGCTGCATGCACGAGAGATTCGCGGAGGACACTTGCAGACAGTTTGCGAAGAGCCGGTGCTGCTCCTGGTGTTGCGACGACTCATAGAGGTATTGGATACTCTCGTGCCGCAAGAGGACGGCACTGCAGATGCAGTTGCTTTTGCAGCCCCAGATGCGCAGGTCATGGGTGGCGAGGCTACCTTACAATATACCGAGTCTGTGTTGGAATCGCTACGGCAGGCATTTGGACCGCATGGGTTCCTTCCAGAATGCATATCATGCTTGGGAAGGAACTTGAATAAGAAGGAGCTTCATGAACGAAAGCTGGGGTCCTTCATTGATCAGATGGACATTCTCGCCCTGTTGGCTCTTCGCCTTGCAATGCCTTGGGAAACCCCCTCGACAGTGCCCAGGCCAGTGGATATAGCTCAGCAGAATGGGGTTCAGGCAGTGCTAGAAAGATTCGTCGAGCTTCTAGAGCAGATCAAGTCCGGCAGCGGCAAGGCTGTGCAAGGAATCCTGGGACAGCTGGCGTTGGTTTTAGATACCTTGTTCATCATGCTTCGGTCCGACTCTGGCTTGGAACGCCTTTGTGATGCCACGCTGCTCACATCGCATCGGACTTAGCTATGCATTGCGCTTCAGATTCATCTGCTTGTAGTCAGCCCTGAACTTGAACTCTGAACAGCCACCAAGCACGCAAGGGGGCGTCGAACTGCGCAATCCCGCGGAGAGCTTAGGAACACCGCACGCGCTGTTAGTGTGTGATTCGGGAGCAGTTTGTGCAGTAGAGGGGCCGGGTCACCACTCACCTGATCGGGAAGGTGGCAGCGGCAGTGGCTCAATGGCTCCCCTGGCTTCCCTGACACTGGAAACCATTGAGCTGCTTGTGGAGTATGCAGACAGAGCATCACGTCAAGAATGCAACGGTTTCGTTTGGACTTGTGCCCACGGTGTTGAAGCTGGTTTTGCACCGAGAGACGAAGACGCCTGCTATTTTGGTGATGAGGTGTCAGTCCAGTCCCTGCAGATTGGCTTGCCAGCCGCCGCGCCTGGTCTTGCTAGATGTAGGGCATGTAGGGTTGCATGAGATTGCAGGCAGGTTTGACAGTTGAATTGAGACCAGATTTCATGAGAGAAGTCTGTAGCCTTGTCTCTCATATTGCTACTGCTCGGTGCGTGCTGGGTTAGGTCAGGCTAGGTATGTATGTTTGTATAAGTTTTGTATATATATATATAATACATGGGGAGAGAGGTCAAAAAACAAATGCGAATCAAATAAGGAAAAGTAATGATCAAAAATCGAGACATAAGGATTAAACAAAAATCTTAGATCAACAGAAAAATAATTCGAGCCCCGAGCCGGAGGAGGAAAGAAAGAAAGAAAGAAAGCTTCACGCCATCAGCCTTAGCGATGAAGTCCATACACAGGTTGCAAGGGAGTAGTCATTTTGAAACGTAGTGTATCCGCCACACTGTCTCTGAGTCTGCTATGTTGGTCTTCGCAATCCTGTGCATGCTCAGTAATCGAGTGCTGTGATGGTCTCGTGTGCGTTGACCTGCTGGGGGCTGTGCACCGGCCTCCTCCATCCGGGGGAGGTGTAGCACTGAGAAGAAGAAAGAAAGAACAGAAACAGAAAGAAAGAAAGAAAGAAAGAAAGAATGCAAACCCGGCGTAATGACTCCGAACTACACACTTGCTGGTTCAGATCTGCCTGCCCGCTGGAACTAGTTTGCTACCGCACACTCATTGGGTTCAGCCACTGTATCAGGACAATACGAAGCAACAACTTACTCCCCAGCCCCGGAGGGGAAGATGAGTACTTCTTTTTTCGAGGCTCTTGACATGTTTTGTTTGCCCGTTGGCTTCATC